TGTGAAGACAGTCGTGGGAACCTGGAAAGTAGGTCTGGAGTCAGATCTATCTCTTGGGCCCCCCAAATTGAAACTGCATCCCCTGAGTGACACCTGAGTAGTAATCTGAGGCCAGGGACCCAGCCCCACACGAGCACAGCAGGTGGCCACTCTGTTCCTGGGCTGGACCAGGAGTCAAACCACATAGATCCCTTTCTCTAGAGGAGGGCCGGGCTGCCAGGCAGGGCCCACTGTCCTCAGCGGCACAGGCTTTTCTCTGAACCCGTCACTTCCATGTGCTGGTCCCATGACAGAGCTCAAGAGATCCTGGCCAGTTCTCAATGACTAGGGATCTGTTCATATGGCCCCACGGACTGTGTCTTCCTGCTCACATGTGCAAATGCACTCACATCCACACACTCACATGGACACACCTGTGTATATGCATGCATGTATACATTTGTGCATACACACAACATGCACACGCAGGCACACACAGGTGCACATGAACCTCTCAGCCAGGAGAAGCAGTCAAGCCTCCCCGGGTTGGACTTGGTCCTTTAAAGGAACTCACGTTGCTGTAATCCATTAAGGTTGAAGATTTCCCGAAGAGCCTCTGGGCCAGCAGCTTTCCCGCCTTGATGGCAGTGGGTGTCAGCTCAGGCCGCCCCTGAGGGAAGAGCACAGCACCACTGTGTTCCCAGCAGCCTGTACAGATGCCCTCCGAGTGGGTGGCTCCCTGCTGAAGACCCCCAGCCCCGTGCCGCGAGCTCTGAGGATGTGGCCATGAGCGGTGAGGGGGTGGACACTGCTACCTACAGGCTGTGAAGATCTGGACGTCCCCAGCATGCGAGGCTGAACATCCCACACTGGCAACCCTCGGGCTGCTATGGGTCTGCTTGCCCACTGTCTCCCTCTGTCCCACTGCAGGGCACGGCCGCACTATCCTCCCTCTCTCTAGAGGGGGGACGGGCTGCCAGGCAGCGCCCACTACCCTCACTGGCACAGGCTTTTCTCTGAAGCCGTCACACGGATGATCTCAGAGTATTAGTTTCATGACAGAGCTCCTGCCGTAGTTCCCAGTGACTCAGGGTCTATTTCATATGGCCCCAAGCATGTCACGTGCTCCTGACACACAGCTTGACATGCATGTCATAGTCCAGGACAAATCCCAAATCAGTGTCATTCCACAGAAGACCCCTCTGTCTCTGGGTGCACCTAGCCTCGGGTGTTCCTGCTTGCAGCAGCCCAGGCCCCCACTGCCAATCACCTCTGTAGCAGGAAATGCAGATGCTGTTTGGCATTCCAGAAATGAGTAAAGATCTACAGAGATAAACTCCGCTTCCAGCCCGTGCATTCCATCAGGCCTGAGTAACCCAGGAAGCATCCCCACACAGCACAACACACCACATTAAACATCCCTGCAGCCGCTGGCCTGACCTGACTGCAAGACTATTACCTGCATCGCCTTCAATTTCTAAAATAAAGGAGGCCTCTGTGCGCCCCGTGCAGTGGGGGCACAGCCCGGGCCTGGGTGCAGAGACTCAGCTGCTGCTGTCGGCGGACACAGGCGCCGTCTGGGGGGCGGAGGGGGGGGCAGTGCTCACAAGACAAAGTTGAGGCCACAGTCAGAGACCTCGAGCTCCAAACCAACCACAGACAAGCCACCACACACACTCTGTGGCCTGAAAGTGGCGTGAGGGCTGAGGAGATGCTCAGTGGTGAAGAGCAGTGGCTGCTCTTCCAGAGGACCTGGGTTTCAGCATCCACATGACAGCTCACAACTGCCTCTAACTCCAGTTCCAGGGATATGATGCCTGGATACGGAGCCTCTCCTGGCTTCCATGTGTACCAGGCACACATGTGGTGTACAGATATACATGCAGGCATAAAAAACAAACGTGTGTGTGTGTGTGTGTGTGTGTGTGTGTGTGTGTGTGTGTGTGTGTATGTGTGTGTGTGTGTGTGTATGTGTGTGTCTATGTGTGTGTGTGCACACCCCGTCTCCCAGCACGCCCCTGTGTGTATGTGTGTGTGCGCTCGCGCGCTGAAATGACCAAGACGGGGAAATGTTGGCGAGCAGGTCGCACGGAGCTTTTCATGTCGTCCTCTGCAAGGCCTCGCACCTGGCAGAGGTGGGCGTCTGGCACCTCTGGGAAAGACACGGTCCTGAATTTCAGGCACAGGGCCTGACGGTACCTTGTACAGGCCATTTGGCTCATCTGAGCATTTTCACAGTGGTAGGGGACCCGTCTGGCACACCAAAGACTCAGGAACCATGCTGACCCAGCAGGCTCGGATCTACCAGAAGCAAACACTGGCTCCAGTCCCCCAGGCTCCTCTCTCCATCTCCCAAAGTGAGTTCCAAAGGGAGCCAGGTAGGGTAGCCATCTTCACACTCCTGAAGGTAGAGGTGCCAGGTGCCCTTGCCTAGGCCGCACTGCTCCCAACCAGAGCCTTCAGTTACCCATCCCGCTGTCTCTACAGCAATGACACTGAGCATCCCGACACTGAAGGGGTTCACCAGCTTCCATCTCCTTCCTACCGATGTTCCTCCATGGGGCATGTTCCTGCAGTGTCCTGAGTGCTCTTGGGAATGTGAGTGGTAACACACTGGGGGGGGGGCGGGGTTGAACAGTGCCCCCCTTCAAAAGAAAACCATACCTGCTTAGAACTTGAGTTTATTTGGAAATGGGTTTGTGTAACAAATGACCCAAGTCTGACAAAGGACAATCTGTAAGACAAAGGAGGGATAAGTACCTGGAGAGATGCTCAGTGATGATGGACAGAGCTGGGATCAAGGACCACCCAGGTCCAGCACAGAGGAGGCAGGAAGTAACCTCCTAGAAGGTACTGAGGAATTCCAGCCTCCAAGAGTGGGTGCTCTATGCTCCTGAATTTGTGGTGGCATAAACCACTTGCTACAGCAGCCCCAGGACAGAAACATACTCCTGGAAGATATGGCAGGTCTCAGCACAGACAAGAGGGCCGGGGACTCTGTGAGCAGCTACCAGCACGACTGAGCGGGGGCCTCCTGGACACCTTCCTTGGGATGTGTCAGAATGGTTCAGTACATGCTACTCCTGAGGCTCTCAGGATGCAGAGACCCAGGACTGATGAAGGGGGTCTTTTCTAGGGGCCTGTGAAGGAGAAGAATGGTAGCTTTCCCAAGCCAGGGCCTTACCAGGGAGGAGCTGTGGGCCATGGTCTCCATGGAAGACAAGGAAGCAGGGAAGTGTCCACAGCCAGCAAGGACGGGGTTCGGAGCCTTGATACCTTCCCCACTGAGCCCCCACCCCAGAAAGATCAGTGACAGCCTAGTCAGTGAGGGGCTGATACAGCTTCAGGCTCAGACGGGGGACTGTGGCAAGGACAGGGCCTGATGACCTGAACCGGGGCTGGTCCTTCTGTGGCTGTAAGACCTCGCCAAGGTCATGCCCAGCAACAGCTAACTCTGTGTAGAGCTAGGATTTTATTCTCTTTTTTATGATTTTAAAATTATTTTGTGTGTGGGTATTTTGCAGGCATGTATGTCTGTGTGCTTCATATGTGTGCTTGGTATCCAGGAGGCCAGAAGAGAGTGTCAGATGCCATGGAGCTGAAGGTACAGACGGTTACGAACTGCCATGTGGGTGCTGGGGATGGATCCAGGTCCCCTGGAAGAGCAGCCAGAACTCGTAACCATTCACCCATCTCTCTAGATCGTAGTCTTAAACTGTCCCACCCTGATGCTCTCAGAGAGGGAAAGCATTAGAAGGGGCAGAGGCTAGTGCTCAATCCTTCCCAGGACGCACCTGACCAGTCCCTAGAGTTGGATCCTGTGATTGGTGCTCTGGGATTAGCGAGAGAGAGAGAGATGTCTCTTTTCTGTGGACAGCAGAGCCTACACCATGTTCACCTCAAGACCCAGCCGAAATAGGGGAGCACATAAGTAGGAGTTTCCGGTGGCTGTGGTTGGTCAGACAGATGCAGAGCATACCTCAGCAACATCTCCAATGGCAAAGATGTGGGGGACAGAGGTGGCCTCCTGGGCATCCACAACAATCTTCTGATTCTCAGGGTTGACATTCACACCAGCCTTCTGCAGATTCAGATTTTTAGTTTCTGGAATTCGCCCTTAAGGAAAAATAGAGAAAGTTGAAAGATTTAGGTTAGCAATTTTGATGTGGGTTCCTTTTATTTAAAATATTTCAAACAGGCCAGGCAGTGGTGGCATACACCTTTAATCCCAGCACTCTGGAGGCAGAAGTAGGCAGATCTCTGTGAGTTCGAGGCCAGCCTGGCCTACAGAGTGAGTTCCAGGACAGGCTCCAAAGCTACACAGAAAAACCCTGTCTCAAAAAAAAAAAAAAAAAAAAAAAAAAATCCGCCAGATGTAGTGACACACACATGAAATCCCAGCTCTTGAAAGGCTGAGGCAGGAGGATAACAAGTCCAAGGCCAGCCTGGGCTACATAAACACTCTACCTAAAACAAAACAAAACAACAAAAACCCCAGGGCTGGCTAGGCAATGGTGGCGCACGCCTTTGATCCCAGAACTGGAGAGGCAGAGGAAGGTAGATCTCTGTGAGTTTGAGGCCAGCCTGGTCTACATAGTGAGTTCCAGGACAGCCAGGACTACAGAGAAACCCTGTTCCCAAAACAAGATTGAGGATATAGCTCAGCAGTAGACCAAATAGAGGTTCTGGTTTGAGTTCCTGTACAATACATAGATCAGTCAACCAATAAATCATCTAACAAACATTTCTCAGAGCTGGGTTCTATGGCTAGCCTACTTTGAGAGGCTAAGGCAAGATGTCTTGAGCACAGGAGTATAAAGCTGTCTAGACAAGGCTGTCCCTAAAAGACAAGAAGAATAACAATAACAACAAAACAAATGAATAAACAAAAACAATTCTCAGAGTGGCCACTTAGAAACTGAAAAGCTTGACTGCGCAGGGGCGGGAACTGAGGGGACTGTAACAGCCTCTGGCTCAAAGACGGAATGTTCACCAATGTCCTTTGGTAACTACGACAACTACTAACCTTGTGCCATTCAGTACACTTGTTGTCTGTGGGTACCATCCACTGAAGATGGTATCCCTCTCATGTGCTGCTTTCTGAAACATGGGTAAGGATCAGATGCCTTCTGACACAACTGTAGCTTGACAGTTCGTGGGTGCCAGACTCGAGAATCTTCCACACACACCCCTCCCCTGAACCAGTATGGCTCTGGTTTCAGGATCAGGAGAAACAAGCCCTCCTTGGAGGGGAATGGTACAATAGACATCCGCAGTGCCAGGCCCTGACCACCTTCACTTGCTTGCTCCCTTCCAGGGCTTCTTAAATGTAGACAGGCCTCCCTGGCTCCTCCCTTCTTCTCTGGGGAGTCATCAGTACTGCTTCTCCCCAAGACAGCTGCCGGGTCACCAGTCCCTCTGTGCAGAAAGACCTGTCTTTTTCCTGTGGATTTCAGTGTTCCCAGCTACACAGGGGACCAGCGTGGGACCCAGACAAGACAAGCAGAGGTTTCACAGGGAGACCACGTTGTTGCCCTGGCCATAGGCCCTTGAACTGTGTTTGGATTTCAGCACAAGCAGCCCTGATGCTCATGACAAGAGAAACTCCTGATGATAACAGAGGGGGCCTTAGAGATGGAACAGGCACAAGTCTCCAGTACAGAGAGTGCATGCGTCCCCCCTGTAAAGACAGGGTGCATGTACACGCGTGTGCGCGCGCGCGTGCGCGCGCGCGCGCGCGCGCACACACACACACACACACACACACACACACACACACACACCTTCCACCACAGTACTCAGCAGGCGAGACAGGAGGATCACTGAAAGCTCCAGGCTGGTCGAGGATGCAGAATGGGTTCCAGGCCAGCCAGGGCTACATTGCAGACCCTGTCTCAGGCAAAACAAACACAGGAACAAGGAGAAGAAGACAGTGGGACCGAAGTGAAAATGCTTGTCTAAACACAGCCTTTGACACTTTTTTTGATGCTTATACATAGTATATATATATATATTCAAAACAGACATTAACACAGGAAAAAAGTTCTAGAAACCACAAATTTAAACAAATGAACCAAGAGGCTGTAAGAGAGCAGATGACAGGATCACTACAGTCCTCTCAGCCTCCTTAGGGGACAGTTCCAGGGCCCCCTTCCCAAGCCAGGAATCCACACCCGGAGCTGTGGTCATACAGAACACAGTGGAGTCCACACACAGCCTGCCCCACCTGCTGTGCCCTGGCCCCTCTCTAGAGGACTCTGGGACCTAATGCAATGCCAGGCGAGGAGCTGCTGTGCTGTCACTAGGGGACCAAGAAAACATGGCGTCTATGCGCTCTGAACAGTGCAACAACAAGATTTTTTGGGCTGGGTATTTTGCTCAGTTGGAAGAGTGCCTGTCTAGCATGTATGAAGTCCTGGGTTCAATTTCAGCACCATAAATCAAGTGTTTATTTACACATGCCTATAATCCCAGCACCGGGGTTATATGGGGGTGTAGAAGCAGACCAGAAGGTCAAGGTCATCCTTGGCTATGCAGTATGTTTGCAGCCATCCTGGGTGACATGAGCCCCTGTCTCAAAAACAGCAACAGACAAACATCGGCCGAACCCTGCCTCACGTGCACAAGGTTTCATTGCCAGCACTAACAAAATCATATCTACCCTCAGTGAATCCAGAGCTGTGGAAATCCAGATGCACAGGCCAGTGCTTCTGAAGAGACAGAGAAGCTCGTGTTTACATGGTGTGGATTCTATCTTAACGTGAAGATACAAAGATATCTATGTGCCATTCAAGGAGAAGTATTAACATCCTGGAATGTCAAATTTATACTGGAAAGTCATGGTTTCTTTTCTAAAATATGTAGTTCTTGACCGCAAAAAAAGGACTTCAGCCAGAGCCCTGGAGCGGGCCTGGTTTTAGCCTCGGCTCTCTAACACTGCCCACCAGGGAACCGGGCCCCACAGAGCTGCAAGGACGCAGCTGAGCGTGAGCAAAGACAGGGTCCCACAGGTTGTGTGGTGCAGAAAGGCGGCATGTCTGCAAGGGAGGATGCCACTGGCCTGGGTGACCACAGGGAGGTGGCTCTGTCCTATCTGTGTAAATTGTGGGGTGTCTCGGTTCATGTGGGCCCCATATGAGCTAACTGGCTGGCACTTCCTCACACGGTTCTTTACTGGGTGGGCACACTTCCACTTCCCCAAATGTCTGGGACTCCTGTGAAGTACTTGCCCCTCTCTGCCCACCCTGGATGCCTCCTTCAGACAGGCTCCAAGTGTCACCTCTCACCAATAGACTATCTGCATGGACAGACAAGGCCCTCCCTCTGTCTCCAGAATTTACCAGGACAGCCTGCAGTGGGTGCTGCATAAGGAGCATGCTGACTGGAGCCAACAGTGAGAGCAAGCAGATTATGTCCTGTCCAGACCCTCAAAACAGGCCTGAGACCCACCTCACCAGGCAGCTAGCAATGGCACTGAACAAGCTGGCTGGTAGCCAGGTCTCAGACCACAGTCTTCTGCTTGCTCTCTTTGGCACCCCCTGTAGCTGTCCAGCGGACTGCTCAGAGCTGAGAGGAGACGGGCTTAAAGACTGTTTGACAGCACCGTGCTCATCCTCAGCCCCAGCTTTCGGGTGGAGGCCCAAGCCGGGATGGGACAGGCTTGTCTCTCTTGGTGTCAGTGTGTCTGTCCCCTCACGTTCCATACAGTTCTGGGCCTTCAGGGAGGATAGCATGTGAGCGCTGCTGCCGTAGCTCAGCTGTCAGGGGAGGTCTCCTTTGCCTTGAATCCCAATGACGGTGGCCCCTGAATGCCGCTCAGGAGCTCCAGACAATTCCCCAGTGACAGAGGTGATTTGGCATCAAAGGCATAGTTCCCACAGTTCTTGGTATCTGGGACAAGCTAGACTTCAGTGTGCAATCTCCAGGAAGTGGGTGGCGCCCACCTAAACATCTGGCAGATGAAGCCTTAAGTCTCCAGCTGTTACGCTGGATGGGGAAGTCAAAACACTGAGACTCAGCTAAGCCTGGCTGCTATAGTTGGCTTGGGCCTGGCTCCAGCCTCTTGGCACTACTCAGCCACAGGAACCGGGAGTGGGCAGGCAGGCACCACGGGGATCAGCCTTGACTCAGGCAGTGGGAGGCCACATCAGAGGAAGGAGCTAGGCCCTATGGGTAGGGCTGGAGCCCATGAGATGAGGCAAAGGCTCTGTAGGTTAGGGGCCCGGGCTCAATCCTTGGGTGTCTTCTCTGGCTGCTGACCCCAGCTTGCTGCATTCACTGTCTCCTGGCAATTGTGCTGGGACTGGAGTGGCCAGGGGACACACTGGTAAGCTGCTCTACGACGGACACACTACGTCATGATCTCTCCTACATGTATCCTGATCCTCCTGATCCTCCTGATCTCCTACCTGGTCCTGTGAGGCCAAGAGCATCTCTTCGTGCTCCTTGTGGTAACTATGGCAACTACTGATCTTGCAGATACCAAGGAAGTCTGTACCAAGGTCCTTATGATATAAAGATACAGTAAAAAGATGCTTAACAGAGCTACATTCTGATAAATGTGTCACTGAGTAGTTTGACACTGTGTGAAGATAGAGTGTTCTTACACAAATCTAGAGGGTCCAGCCTACCTCACAGGTAACCTGTGTGGTCCACACGTGTAGCCTTTTGTTCCTAGGCTACAACTGCATACAGCACTCCCCACACCTAGTACCACAGGCAACTGTGGCACAGCAGGCTGTGCCTCCAAACAGGTTTACTTCCATACACATTGCCACAGCACTCCAGCAGCCTTGGAGCCACTGTGCCAGAGGAGGTTTTTCAGCACTGGGATAATCTTCCAGGAAGGCTGGTTCAGATACACAGTGCATACATCTGAAAGCAGCACCAGGAGAGAAGGTAGGGAGGAACCGAGTACCCGTCACGGTCTATTGCAAAGCCAAGATTTCCTAGGACACGTTGTATATATACACTTGGGAAGTGCAGGGACGTGTGAGCCAAGTCTGCGGTGTGGGGAACACACGGGATAGAGGAGCAGACAGTGTGGCAAAGGGGTTGTTACTGCTTCTGGAAGGGATGGTGGAAGAAGCGGGGGAAGGGCCAAGACAGGCAGCCATGGCTACACTGAGGCCTAGAAAACGGTTATCAGTACGGCCCAGAGGCCAGAGAGCCTGCCTCTCCCCAGGCATCCTACATTGTGGGACCATTCCCTGAAACTGAGGCAATCGCTGCAGCCAGGGCACAGACCACAGGGAACAGACACAGCGTCACAGCTCCCTCAGGCTCTGCTCTCTCGCTTGGGATCAGAGCCGGGTCCCATCTCCCTCCTGGCACTGAGGGCCCATCAGAGATGGAGGCACCTCCTGAGCTCAGGCCTCAAACCCATGGAAAGTGGAAAACAGATGCCAGCTGGCACCCAGGGCTCATCCGCCTAAGCAGGTGGCTCTAGGCCCTCTAGACCCAGTGACACCTTCACAAAGTGAGAAGCCAGCCAGCCAACGTGCTGAGCAGTGTCCCCAGCAAACACTGTGCTCAGGCCATGCTGGAGGGCAGCCACGTTCGTCAGTGCGTACTGTGCTCAGTACCTCTCCAGAACCTGCTGCGCCAGAGCCAGTTAGCTCAGTCAGTTTTTGTGGTTTCATTCCCCAGCCTCAGCTCTAGGGCAAGTGTGATGGTGGCAACATGCTCCTGAACAGGAAGACATTTGGGGGCTCCCGGAGCTCTAGTGCCTGGACTCCAGCAGGAAGGAGACCCGGAGCATCCCATGCCGTGAGTCTGTTGGTGTCTCACTGCTGACCCTCAGAGGAAGGGAAGCTGGACTGGAGGACAAGGCTGCCAGCTTGCAGCAAGTAGATGCTTTGTTTGTTTGTTTACACTCTGGCCTTGGCACAGCACCTCTCCTGTTGTTTTAATTTGCACTTCTCTGATGACTAATACGACTGTTTTCTGCCTCCTTTTATTAATGGCATTTCTTTTGCAAACTGCCAATCCCTGACTTTGCCTGTTGCCTTTCTTGCCTTATAAGAGCTTCACGTGTGACTGGTACATGGTGCTCTATCATTTCTTCTACAATGAAGGCATTCAGACGCAAGTTCAAGTGCATGCTCTTCCTCTCCTCTGAGTAAATGCAGACATAGGCCCAGAGTATGTGTGCTGAGACCCTCTGGCTGTCACTTCCACAGCACCCCCCACCACACCCACACACACACACCCCTCCAGAAGCCTGCTGTTGTCCCTCCTGAAAGATAATGCCGCCATCAGTCATTCCCACCTATCTGCTGGATACAGGGCCGAGCAGACGCAAGGCCACAAGCAGCACCCTGCGCCTCTCTGATCCCCGCTAGTTAAACGAGCATGCCCTCCAATTTCATGCCTGCCTACAGCACATGTTCCCACCAGGGAAGGGCAATCCGTGAAATGAGGTGAGATTTAAGTGCCAGCAGGAACAGGGAGGGCGAGTGGAGGGCTGTGACCCAAACTAATATGGCCACACCAGGTGGCACAGAGTTGGACAGAGAAGTGCACACTGTGGCCTTGCAGAGGCCTGTATGGAGAGCCTGGGCGACGGTCCCATGAAGCCCCCAGTGCTGCTCCAAGGCACTGAGCCTGGCCGACCGCTCGCCTGTCCCATTGAGGCTGTTTTGCTCTTAAATTGCTTTTCACCTTCTTATCTGTTCACATGTTCTTTTTGTAGGCAGGTTTTCATGTAAACCATGCTAGTCTCCGGCTCCTCTGCAGCTGAGGATGATCTTAAACTGATCCTCCCGCCTGCCTGCCTCCCCAGTGCTGGCATTACAGGTATGTGCCTGCTGCTACCCAGTCTACAGGAAGCTGAGGACTCAACCCAACGGAGTTACATCCCTAGCCTTTCCTTCGACTCTTTTTTGGGGGAGGAGTATGGGGGAGTAGGGTCTTACTCTGTAGCCCAGGCTGGCTCCAAACTCCTTATCTAGCCCATGTTCCCCTTGGAATCGTGGCAATCCTTCTGTCTCAGAGCGCAGGGTTTACAGGTGAGCGCCACCAGGCCCGCTCCCTTCTTTAATCATTCACTTAGTGCTGAGGATTGAACCCGGGACCCCCAGCATGTTGAATATGTCTACTGCTGAACCCCAACCCCTTCCTCCCTCCCCCTCCATCCTTCTCCTTTTCTATCATGGCCCTGACTCAACACACCTTAGGCCATCTACAGCTGTGAGGGGCCCAGGAACACCTGTGAGACCCACAGCGAGACTCCAGGCTCGGCTGTGTCCACATTCTGCTCCTCTTCAGAGTCTTAGCTTAGCACTCAGTCCCGGGGACCAAGCCACCTCTCAAAACCTCCAGGCAGCCCAAGGCTGCCCCTCCTCTTTGCTGAGCTCAGAACATCCCTAGTGATAAATGTCCACCCTGTGGAGTTCGATTCTGTTTGTTCTACCCCTCCCCCTGCTGCGTGACTGTCGGTCACGGGGACATGTCATTTGCATATATACAAATGGTAGTCCTGGGTGTGGATGGAGAGCCACAATACAGCTCATCCTGGGCTGAGGCTGAGTCCCAAACACTGGTGTCCCCACACAGCTTTCCTGGGCCCTGCCTCCCTGGTTGTCAGGTGGATGACCAGTGCAGCCTCCACATGGGGCCAGACGGAAGGAAGCTGGGAAGTCTGGTTCCAATGCCTGATAGCCAGGACTGCCTGGCTGCTCGCACGCCATCTCAGAGGCTCAGACCTGCCTTCACTCAGGCAGATGACGATGACAACGAAAACAACACACTAGGTTCTCCGAGATGAAGCCTGGACAGGAAGAAATGGCTTGGTGGTCTGGGGTGAGCATCAGGAGAATTCCTCCCC